TGTTTTGAAATTCATAGGAAATCCTTTCCTCTGAATATGACTTCTGGATATGAATTTGTTCAGCCATCTCTAAGAATTACATATGCCTGTACTTGTTCACTGGACCAAAAGAGAAGAAGAAAGTCAGAAGGGTAAGGTTTAAGATAAAATGGTCATCTTAGATGTCAAAGAGGTTGCCAGCATATGATAAAAGTACGAGTTTATATGTTTTGTGTTAAAATTTTTAGTAAAAAAATTGTCTCAGATTATAAGCATTGCTATGTGTGCAATTTATTTACCAGTGTTTTGTGCACAGTGAACAAGTTCTTATATGAAATATTTAGTCTATATACTTAGAAGTGGTTGGTATATTCAAGTGTAAGTAGTAGGAGAGAACTTACTGTGAATAGTTTTAAAAAACTGTTGGGAAATACATTATCTGGACTTTTTAAACCACCTTGAAATACTATACTGTCTATACTTATTGCATTGAGGGAGGTTGGAAAGAATAAATTGCAAAAGGTGTTTTTTAGAGTATGGTAGTAAACTTCAGCTTACATTTTGCCCTGTAACATGCATTTCATTTAATTTTGCTGTACTGTATACATTGTGTATATCCTGGACAAAGGAGTCTACTTTTATGATATTCAGATATAAACACTGTTACCAAGTTCAGCTTATTCATAATTACTTATGTACCTATTTGAAAAACTTAAATCCTTATTTGAAACATCTAGTCTTTCTAGATGTTTAGACATGTACAAATTATGTTAAAAGTTTAGGTGGTAGATAAAACATTTTGTAGATATCTGTTGCCAAAATTCTAAAAAAGTACTGTCTTTGGGAAATAGAATGATGATAACACTTCCCTAAGCAATACACATTATATTTGTGATGGTTCAGGAAGGAAGAAGGGAAAGAAAATCCAAAGGGCTTTATACCAATGTATTTTCTGTGAAGCAAGATTGATCATTGTTCCTTATGTCTGTGAATATTTCTTACTATGCTGTGTAAATAGTGTATATAAAGGGTACTTTTACTTTGTCCTTGATATGCTGAGGGGTAGTAGAACAGCCTTTAAGGCATGAACTACCTGTTATGTTCTAGCCATCTGAAATTTAATTTGTTTGGCATTTAACATACACATGCCTCCTGTCAGGAACATAAGCATGAAAATGAAAAGTCCCAATTATATAAAAAATGGTCTCATGGTTTGGGTTTCCCACCAACCAGCGCAGCTTTGCCAGCATTCATCCTCACTGTGACCCTGTCAAGACAGTGGGAGAGCAGCTTTGCCAGCACTTATTCTCACTGTGACCCTGTCAAGACAGAGAGTGGGGGATCACCTTCACCATCAAAAGATGACCAACAAATAGCCAACAGGTGTATGAAAAATCCTCAACATTGTGAATTATCAGGAAGATGTAAATTTAAACTATAGTGAGCTAACAACTGACCCCTGATAGAACATAATTATCAAAAGGAAGAAAGAAAACAAATGTCTGCAAGGATGTGGAGAAAAATAAACACTTGCACACTGTTGGTGGGACTGTCAGTCAGTATAATTACTATGGAAACAAGTAGAGAGGTTCCTCAAAAAATTAAAAAATAGAAGTATTATATGATTCTGAAATCCCATTTCTGGGAATACATCTAAAGTAAGTCTCATGTTTATTACAGCACTATCAAAATTGCCTATATGAGATAAGTGTCCATTAGTGGATGAATATATAAAGAAAGCATCACATATATACAGAAAAAAATATTATTCAGCCATTCAAAAGAAGGAAAACCTCTCATTTACAACAACAGGGATGAACCAGAGAATATTATATTAAATGAAATAAGCCAGGTTCAGAAAGACAAATACTGCATGATGCACCCATATATAGTAGTTGCTCAAAGTTAAGGTCATTGGGAGAGTGGGTGGGTAGGGGATAGTGATATGTTGGCTGAAGGATACAAAATTACAATTAGATCTGTGGAATAAGTTCAAGGAAGAAATTGTACTGTATAGTGACAATAATTAGTGACAACATACTATACTACTGAATAATGCTGAGTGGATGTTAAGTATATAATTACCAAAATGATATACATGTAAGATAATGTATATGTTAATTAGCTAGATTTAGCTATTTTGCAATGTATTTATTCATACAAATATCATGTTGTACACAATAAATGTAATTTTATCTGTCAATCTAAAAAATAAGTAAATTTATAAAAACAAATAGTGAAGAAGTTACAATATGAAAACATTTAATTATAATGTACTATAGCAAAAAGTGACAGATTAAGAAAATAAAAATATTTAATTGTAGAAAAATTATTTTTAAAGTATTTAAAAGTACATATAATTTATGAATAAATTATTAGTTTATAAAAGCTTCAAAACCATGTATTAGAAATAATGTAATTTAGAAAATTGTTATATTCTACAAATATGATTTCATACTTTATAAGAATACATGGGGCACAGAAAAATAAAGGGGAAATAAATACATTAAAATGTTAACTCAATATTTTCTTTCAGATATTATCTAGACTAATATTAAATGAATTATAACCTTTATTTTATTAAAACTTAGATCAGCACATATCATATTATAAGTTGCACATGTCAACTTATTTTTGAAAACTAATCCTGTTGCAATACCATGTCATTTCCAGTTGTTCGGCCCCAGTGCATTAATACTAACCTTAAACTTCAGTATGTTAATTTCTATTTTGAGTGACCTTGTATAACATATTTTGTTAACCTGCATATCTGTAATAGGTTTACTCAGAATTACTCATTAAAGGAATCACATTAGAAATGTTTTTTCTCATGTAAACCCATCACTGTTTTGCACTGAGGCCATTTAAAGGGAATTTTAGGGCTGTAAGTTCATTTATTTTTGTGCCTTCCTAATTAAACAACCCCAAACTTATTTTCATGGTTCACGTTGTTTGGCTCTAACCTTCACCCTAGTTGTAGGAATAATGAAGCATTTTTTTGTGCCAGTATTGTGCTAATTGGTAATGGAGTTCACTTCTTGTCTCTCTGGACACAATGGCCAATTAAGCCTGAGGAAATCTCAAATCCCAAAGGAGATGGAGGGCAGTGCTGTGTGAAACATGGGTCCTTAAGGAATATTGATTGGTTGGTTTTACTTAAAGGGGCAAACATTTCTCATCAATGTTATTGATATATGTAAAATCAGCTTTTCATTGTGGCAGTCGACTAGGATCTTGGTGAGGAGAGCCTATGTCAGTCAAAAAATGCCTCCATGATTGAAGACAATATCTATAATTTACTTGCACTTTATCATGAGGACTTTTTATTGTTTTTGATGCAGCCCAGTTTGCACACTAATTTCATTTTTCAATGGTAGGTGAAAAACCACATGGCTGAAAGCTTAAAAATTTACTGAGTTTAAAACTCATTATTGGGTACAACCTCCATCCAGACATGGCACAAAGAAAGATGTAGACATCTCTCTGTCACAGAAAAAAAAAAAGGTGAGTGGTATCCACTACAGAAAATTATGTTACCATGAGTAGAAAGTGTCTCTCAAGGTCATCTCATCTATAACTTGTATTTAGAGTGTCTGATTTGTTTCCTAGAAACCAGTCCCTTTTATCTTTTCATTCTTTTGAATGAACATTTGCTCATTATATCTCCATACATAGAAAGAGTCAGTAGGATATCTAAAGTTATATGGGAATTCAGGAAAGTCTAATACAATAGTTTTCAGCTGAAGGTGGGTTACTGTTTTTCATAAGAAATAATGAATATTGATAGCTAAAAAGCCAATGTTGAAATGAAAATTTTAAAAACAACTCAAATTATGAGGACCTACAAGTCTTTGTTCACTCTCATGTACCCATTCTCCTGGCAGTTTATACTTCAATGTGAGTTTTTCTAACTCTGGATAAAGTTTCTCATTCTGTGGTAAAATATGCCAGTCTTTATTATTTTGCTTTTTTCATTAAATCTATATTGCAGTTCTCTTTATTCTTATGTTTGTAAGTTCAAATGGTGTAAGTCATCTTCATATATTCTTATTATGTTCTTTTTATATTTTACGGGAACTAGTACACAAAGAGAGAAGTGTATTTTAATCTTAGGTGTAAGTCTTGGCCTCACATTATGTTTATTCACATTACTTATCTCCCTGAGTCACAATAGCAATAAAATGTAAATCATAAATATTTTTAAGGGTTTTGGTGAGAATTAGAAAGGTTGTACTTTAGATACTAAGGAGTGTCAGTTACATATCAATCAAATAATTACTTTATTATAAGTTTTACTATTTTCATCAAGGGTATTTGTGAATAGAGAGAGGATACCCATGATCATTACAATAAATCACAAGTAGTCTATAAATTTTTACTATAAATCAAAGAATCCCATGATTGTTCTTTTTGGGAATAGACATGCATAGAAGAAAAATACAACTCAAAAAAAATCACATAAAGATCTTAGTAAAACAAGCAGAATTTCTTTATATCAATTATACATTTAGATAAGACTCATAATTTATAAGTTACTCAACATTTTTTGACTTGGATTAAAAGCAGCATGTATTACTCAAATGTTGTATTATAAAGTAAGAAGGCAGGATTTAAAATGTACTAAGTATACCCAATCTCATATACACATATTATTATGTTCTTTATGCCATTTAAATGTAATAATTTACTTTAAAAATAATTCAAGGTCTGAGAATGTAATCTAGTGGAAAACCGTACACTTAGAATGTATGAGGCCTTGAGGTTCTGGATTCAGTCTCCAGCACACGGTGCAGTTGGGGGTGGGGGAAAGTCAAACACAACTACTAAAAACAGAAGAACCATGATTTTTAGTTTTAAAATAACTATATTCTTCACAAAGTCTTCATTAATTAATTATAGATTATATTTGGCATGAAGTCAATTGTTATAACTCAATTCAGATCCAGTGAGTAATCAATAATATGTATTTACTGATTTATTCTTATATTTTTTTAGGAACAAAAAAAAATAAGTGAGTCATCATGAATTGGGCAAATGACAGTTCCTCAAAAGGGTTTATACTACTTGGCTTCTCAGATAGTCCCTGGCTACAAATGCCTCTCTTTGTGGTTTTGTTAATATCATACACATTCACAATCTTTGGCAATGTGTCCATTATGGTTGTGAGCATTCTGGATCCCAAACTTCACACACCCATGTATTTCTTTCTCGCTAATCTCTCCATCTTGGATCTCTGTTATACCACAAGCATAGTCCCTCATATGTTAGCAAATATTTGTTGCAACAAAAACACCATCAGCTACAGTGACTGCGTGGCCCAGCTTATCATCTTCCTGGCCCTGGGTGCCACAGAATGTCTCCTCTTGGCTGTTATGTCCTTTGTCAGATTTGTAGCAATCTGCAGACCACTCCACTATGTAATCATCATGAACCGCTGGTTCTGCTTAAGGATGGCTGCCTTCTCGTGGCTCACTGGTTTCAGCCTCTCAGTGTTGCAGTCTTGCCTGACACTGAACATGCCACGCTGTGGTCATCGGGAAGTGGACCACTTCTTCTGTGAGGTTCCTGCCCTTCTCAAGTTGTCATGTGCTGACATAAAGCCTATAGAGGCTGAGCTCTTTTTCTGCAGTGTATTAATTCTGCTAATTCCAGTGACATTGATCCTGATCTCCTATGGCTTCATAGCTCAAGCAGTGTTGAAAATCAGGTCTTCAGAAGGAAGGTGGAAAGCTGTTCCCTATTTTCAGGCTTTCATGATTTCACTGAATTCTACCAAACAAAAGTCTTCCTTTGTTACAAAAACAATATATGCGAACTAAGTTAAAACTTCTTTGCCTTCTAGAAGTCCCCCAAGGGCACTGTCTTTAAGCCAAATCAGTCTAATTTCTTCCTATCAATGTTGGAGTAGTCAGGAGAGTTGGATATTTTACCATTTACCTGCATATTATTTGTTCTAGAACAATCTCTGTTTATCCCTTAAGACAGTTTCCATATCTCTGTGATTAAATAACCAGGCAATCCAAACCAAAAATTCTTTAATTCAGAACCTAAGTTCTCTATGACTTTACATCCTCACATCTCTTTATAAAATCCATAATATGTATGCACCCTTCCAAAATTGTCCTGAACCTATAGGTCGACTCTAGTCTAGGTGGCTTTAAATAATGCATATTTAATCTGAAATTTTAGTTGCATTTTATTTGCAGTTCTATTTTCAATCCATCCCCTTAATCCCCATGGATAACATTTCTCCTTTTTCTACTTCTGTCAAATTCCCCATTTGTGCTCAATTCTCACTCAGACATATGGTATCTCTCCTAAATTATAAAGTTACTTACATAGATTTGTAAATGACAATGTTTTTTTTCCTAATAGTGATCTGAATTAATTCATTTATGGACAGTCATTCAATAAACATTTATTGTTCATGATGTAGTATATGACCACAGAAAAAGCAATCACTGAAGAAATGCTCTACTTCTTGAGGGAAATCATCCTGAAACTGAAACACTTAAATAGATATTTGCAGTTAGTAATATAAGAACATAGATGAGGCAGCATTTTTGGCAACAGAGAAAGGATTGCAATACAAAGCATTTCAGAAATTACAATAGTTAAAAACATAAAACTCAAAAAATAAGACATAGACATGTTAACCAAAAGGATTAGATTTTATTCAGTAAGCAAAGCAGTATAACCAAAGCACAGAGAGTACCATCAGGAGTAGAAAAGCAAAGAAAAAGACATAGCTCACACATAGTGAAGAAAGGTATTGTATAGGAAAGGTAAAATTTCAAATAAGTATAAAAAGGAGACTGTAAGCATATAATTTTTAAATGTTGGTTTTCTCACAAAAGCATTAAGAAATACAAAATTATAAAAATGGTTTTATCTGTGGCACAAGTGTCTTTTTAAAATTTCCAAACCTAAAATAACCATTGCTGTTTCTTGTCGAATATGTGGAAAACATTGCAAACTTAACACATCTCAAAGCTAAACACTTCTTCTCCATTACCACAAAAGCCTCATCTTAAGTTAAATAGTTATTTGAAGTTAATAACACAAGAACATAGGCGAAGCCGCATTTTAGGCCACAGAGAAAGGATTGCAAGACAAATCATTTCAGAAATTACAATGGTTAAAAACATAAAGTTCAAAAACCATATAAGACATAGACATGTTAACCAAAAAGATTAGATTTTATTCACTAAGCAAAGCAATATAACCAAAACACAGAATGTACCATCAGGAGTAGAAAAGCAAAGAAAAAGACATAGCTCACACATAGTTCTTTTGTTTAAGAAAGGTAATATTTCAAATAAGTGTAAAAAGGAGACTGTAAGCATAAAATTTTTTAAATGTTGGTTTTCTCACAAAAGCATTAAGAAATACAAAATTATAAAAACAGTTTTATCTGTGGCACAAGTATCTTTTTAAAATTTCCAAACATAAAATAACTATTGCTGTCTCTTGTTGAATATATGGAAAACATTTCAAACTTAACACATCTCAAAGCTAAACACTTCTTCTCCATTACCACAAAATCCTCATCTTAAGTTCACTATTTTAATAAATGAATTTACCTTTTGTTTATAAATACAAATTGGAAACCATGAGCCATATCAATCTTTTCTCTTCTGAACCTTCCATCTCTCCCTAATTTTGAATATTCACATTTCTAGTACCATCATCCTTTACCTGGGTCTTTATTCACTCCCTCCAACTCCCTGTCAATGGAGTTTATAAATTGTTTGGGGGTTTTTTGTTGTTGTTTATTTGTGCATTTGTAATAATCCTGAGAATATTTTTATATTCTTCAAAACAATTTAAATTTCTACAAATTAAATTTTACCATACAGTTATAAAGTGTATTTAACCATTTTTATATTGTTGAATATTTTTTACTTCTTATGTTTGCTATTATAAATAATATTGCAAAGAAATTCAACCTATGGATATGGGTTAGGATGTCAGCTTGTAATTTTAGAACTGGTATTACTGATTTAAATTATATGTTTTTTAGAGTTAACATACATTGCCAATTCATACTACAAAAAAAAAAAATAGTACCCTTTAACATTCTTAGAATCACTATACGGAGTAAATGGGAATGCTTCCTTCATGACCTTTTGTAAACTCTGGGATCTATCATCTTTGAGACATTTGCCAATTTTAGAAGCAGAAATACTATTAGCATCCTATTTTTTATTTCCTTGAGTACTTTGAAAATAACAGTTTTTATACATAGAATAAATTATAGGAGTTCATAAATATTTTATTTCCTCTCCCCTTCTAGGGAGATGGTAGGATTCCAATTACCTGCCTTATTTGAAAGCAACCCAGCTGTTTAATTTGCTTTATCAATAAAAGGTATGATAAAAATGATGTGAGCCATTTTTTGATGATGCCATGCTCTCTTTTCTCTACCATCAAAACAATGTTCAAGGTAGAGTTCTGAATCATCCTGAAGTAGTTTGAGAACAATGTGGAGTAGAACTCCAGCCCTTGATAGACAAATAGCATGAGTGAGAAAAAAATACCTATTACTCACAGTCACTGAAAATTCAGAGGTTTTAATTAGCCAATTATAATATAGGTTATACTTACACTAACTGATTATAGAAACTGGTCCTGGTAGTAGGGTTTTAATTTCAAAACAAAAATAAATTAGGAGGCACTGCACAGGATCAGGTGTCAGACAGTGAGGAATTCAATATTAAAAAATTGAAACCATAGTGACAGGGTAGAAATGCTTGATACACTATCATCTTTAATAGCTTATATGTTAAATAATGAACCCAATTGTAATGACTCAAGACAAAGAGGTTGGAAAACACTTGTATTTGTTATTTTTTGGATACATTTTTACAGGACTTTAAAAAAAGTCCATGTATTCAACTCAAAATAAAATAACTCATTATAGTCTAGATTTTCAGATGCTAGAGGAGTGAAAAAAAATAAATATTTTCTCAATTTCATATAACACATTAAATTGTGAACATTCTTTGAGCAACAAAAGGTAATTAAAATATAACCCCTAACCCAGGTACTATGACATAAACCTGTAATTCCAGCTATTCACAAAGCTGATGCAGGGGTATTTCAAGTTTGAGGACAATTTGGACAATTTAGCAAGAACTTGTCTCAAAATAAAAAACAACAATGGCTTAGATATAGCTCAGTGATAAAGTGCCCATTTATGTGTGTGCATACACCTACACACATAAATATCTCTCTCTCTCTCTCTCTCCATATATATGTGTATAATTATATATATTCATATGAATATACATACACACATATATAAAATATATGGTAGTAAGAATTGATTCAAGAATATATATCATACGCCTGTTATTAAACATTCTTTGTGAATTACAAAAACACCCCATATATCCTTTCAGTTGAAATAAGTAATTCAGAGAAAAGAGAGTCAAAGTAAAGAAAAAAGTGAATAGGCCTATCCCACCGAAGATTGATAGGCTCAAGGAAATTACAAATGAACATATAAAGAGAATTGTGTCTTGATAAGAATTGAGAACTTGGCCATTGGAACATTGAATCAACTTAGATCAAATAGATAAGAAGCAAAATTGTTGAAAGAATTATATAACAAATAAAGTATGAATCTGCATTTTCAAAACCTTCTGTTTGACATGTAAAATAAACCTTGGTCTCCTAATTTTCTTAAATAGAAAGGATGTTGAGAAAACTTACATTGTCTTCTTCAAATATAGCCATTGAGGATAATGGAAATAGGATATCCAAAATGTAGAATTAAAGGATTATGAAAAACAAAGAATAAAGGAGCTATTTTCAGTAAGTGGAAGTTGAGAACATTTATGAACTCACAGTTGGAATTTCTTACAATAACTGCTCAATGGTTCTCAGCATTTCTTGGGACTTATGAATTATGATCTTCTTTAAATTTCCTCTATCTGAATGGGAGTGTTAGTACTGGTCTCCTTCATTCAATTCCATCTGTTAAATTTTGAGTATGCATAGGGCAGGTAACTTTGCCTTTTTTAATTTACAGATCACTGAGCCAAGAGAATGCAAGTACAGATCTAATGAAGAGATTAGAGAGCACTAAGAGGTCCTACACTTTGAGTTAAGGTTGTAAACTAACTGGATGGAAATGCTTGTTTCTCTTTAGAAAGGAGCAGATATAATTTATTTATAGGAAGAAGAATAAAATAAATCTTTTTATGACTAAAATGGAAGACTGTGGTAGTCTCTAAGAATCTCCACAAATATTTTTTTTCATTCCTTCTAGGCATATGATAAGTCTATAATTTTCTCTGCCATTCAACAAATGTGTGACTTTATATAACTTTGGTCAATAAGTATGAGGTACATTAATTGTCAAAATCCTACGAATTTTCAGTGTCAATGGGTGTTTTGCAATATTTACTTCCCTTTATCACAAAAATCTAGGAAATATTTGACACGGTCCACTCCATCTACTTGTATCTCTAATGGGGAGTAACATGGAATAGATTTTCAAATGACATTAAATGTAAATGAGACATAAACAAAAAAAATGAGTCTTGTTGCTTTAAGACACTGTGATTGTTTTACAAAATTTTTAATTGGTAATTTCTCTTAGAAATTAATTTTAAATAACATTATTTAAAAATTAATATTTAAATTTAAAATAATAATTTTCACCATTAAGTGAGATAAAAGTCAAAAAATTTATACTTAGAGAGTGACCCAAATTTTGTGGGCACCTACATATGTGTATGAAAGTATTGGAAATAAATTAATCAATTTGTGGTGAGGTAAATAGTAGGACCCAAGCAAATTTTTATTCTGT